GGACCCACTTCACACGCGGAAGGAGGATCGCCCGCCGAAGGCGGGCGATCCGACTGGTTCCGAAAAAAGGGAACTGGGCCAAGTGTTGTGCTCAGCAGAAAAAAACCCACTCAGTGATCAGTACCATAGGTTTAACTATGCGCGCAGTATTGCGCGTTAGCCAAACTGGTATATATATCAGGTTGTTCGAAAAGTTCCTGCGACACTTTGACCAAATATTTCGAGCTAAATTTCCGTCACTAAACGACATCGTGTAATCTACAAGGCACAGTGACAGCAGTTGATGACGTAGGATGAGTGGCCTTTCCTTTTTGCACAGCTTCTCACTTCCTATTCTGAATAGAACATCTAACAGCAACTGTGGGTAAGTAGAAGAGGCGGACCTCATTCTCAAGTTGAGATTGATTTTTCGGAACTTTTGCTTTGTGAAGGATGCGATAGTGGACCAAAGGAGGTGGTAATTAGAGGCTGCTAACTTTGCTAAATAACCTGGTACGGTAGCATTCTCTGATCGAAATCCATGATCTTTTGGCGTAGCCTGATCCCCACATGCGGTCCTCGCATTATCGAGTAGTAGAGAAAAAATTGGTCAAATGAATTCAAGCGTGACGTCATCCATATTTTGAAGTCGATTAAGGTGGACTGTGGTCCTTACAACGGTGCTGGTATCCAGTGATACCGCTTGGAAGTCCCACCAATAACACACTGAAATCTTTATCCCATGCACAATGCTTTCTTGGCTAAGCAAATCTACTTCTCTCTGAGCATCGCTACCCCCCCCTGGGCCCCGCGGCAAGGGGGCCCAAACATTGTGCATTTGATGTACAAAAGGACCCACCACTCGCTACCAACCACAAGATCTCGCGAAAGTTCCTACGCTGTGTACAAGGAAAAGAAAACTCAGTCAGGGTCATTCGGTATGACTTGTCAGACGGGTCCAACTCATGAGGCATCCTTCACAAAAATTTTTTCCGATAACCGAGATTGCGGAGAAGCATGGCAGTTGTCAGTCAGATGGAGCCTAGAGAGGCGCAACTCAGTGGTGGTTACCTTCGCTGCGCCTCAAGAAGCTTGAGTAAAGGGCCGTCATTCTGTGCTGGTGGCCGACCTATACATTGCCTACTTCCGAGTTGAATAAGTCCCAGCCTGGAAGCGCTGATGCAAAAGCTACCCTCTGCCATGGCAAGCGATATCCTTCCTCAAGACAACGTAAGGTGCTCAGCTTCCTGCGACTGACGGCGGAGTGGCCCTAGAGGAACTCATAATATGGACAAGTCGAAAAAGTACCTCGACCTCTGGGGACTTTAAGCTTTGAAAACTTCCTCAAAGTCATGATATACCCATGTGCAGAAACCCCAGAGGACAGTCTCCACTAATCAGGGATAAAAACATCCAAAATGATTTTTGGTCTTTTTCTAGAACAATTCAATCAAAGTGTCGCAGGACTTTTCGAAACGACGGCGAGTACAGTTTGAAGAATTCTCCAGCTTTACTCTTCTTGCAACCTCGGCATTTTAAGTGTATGTTCTCAACTTGCTGGGATGGCTTTCGCATTATTGGGGTCTTCTCGAGGGGTTCCTGACAACGATGTCGGAACCGCTAGAGTTTGACGAGGCGCTTGTCGGGTGAGGGTATAATCCAACTCCTTGAAATTACACATACAGGCCTACTGAATGACGACTGATTCAGTCAAGAAAACGTTTAAGCCATACTGAATAATACGTTCCACTATCAACTCGTAAGGCCGCAAAACCAAATTGAGAACATCTTTAATAGTGATGACAGTTGAGCGCTTTTTCCCAACTCGCGTTAAATATTCCAGAAGTAGATTTTTTAAAGTCTTCACTACAGCTCGACATACCATGGTCACATGTTCCACTTCAAGCACTTTCTCTTTTTGTTGGACAACAAACAATCGGAGTAAATGGCTCGTGAATACAACAGTGCTACATAGCCAGTGTACCAGAGAATCTCCATACAATTGGTGCGGAAAAATATTTCAGATCACGAACCCTATGATTGATTTTTTACGCCTACTTTTTACCTTTTTAATTTAGTTAGGTTTTCTGAATCTAATTTCAAAAAAAATCGTGTGAAGGAAAGGCCATGTCGTTTGAAATTTAGCGATATCCCTCCTAAACATGCGTGTACGCTTACTTGCTAGGTGGTTTAGTGTCAGGCTTTAATGTCAGGAGTCCACAGGTCTGCAGCTGCAGAAGTGGGCCACTTTTTTCACTCGAGAGTGCACTGAAATAAAACTGGAGGAGGGCAGTAACAGAATGGCGTTTGGTCTCTACCTGCCCTGCACAACGGCATGCACTTACAATACTGAGGTTCACGATGTGCATATCAGGCAACAAATAACGCGAACAGCAAGCTGCGCATCGTAGCTATGCATAGAGAACAATCAAACCTGAGAGAGCGCACACAAGTATTATAGCACGGTCGCTATTTCTGTCGACGGTTATCATGATGTGATTTACTGGGTTTGCGGAGAAGTTGTGTCAACTTTTTTAAACTCAAAATAATCACCTACTTCCCGAAAATGGGGTGATCGACAATGTGAGCAGTAATACACGAAAGATTACCTTGCTTTGAGTACCCATCGCCTACTTCTTCTTTTGTACCTCCCTTTGATTTCCACTCGCCTACTTCTTCTTTTGCAATATGGACAATAATGAAGTCCGGTTCCATCGGCATTGACCCTATAAGCGCTTCCTCAGACTCTTTCGTACACCACCCTGATGCGAGCATGAGAGCTACCGATGCCAAAATAAAGGAGCTGCATAGGGACGACGTCCCCTATTACCGGATATTCTTTCACGACGCTATTGCTTTGAAGCGGGAGTCTGCAGCTTTAAAGACGAAGTGAGGTTCGAATGTCCATGTGAAGGCAGCTTGAGGGAGCTAGGGCTCCTGGAACTAGTTGATGAAGAAGCTGCCTCCACGAACAATCCTATTACAAAGCAGAAATGAGTCTGAAGCGAATCATTGATCAGAGAGGATTTCGATAGCATACTCTGCCATTCAACATGACAGTGCAGCACACACCTTTTAAAAAAGCTCGAACAGAACCTCATGCAGTAGAGCTGGATGGCTCTCATTTTGCAACCGTGTAGCCCAGACATTGCTCTTTCCAGCTGCAGTTCACTCCAGTACTTAGCCATTTTATGGGCGAGGAAACCTCAACGACCCAAGCCCAAGTCAAACTTGAGATGATGACTAAAACTGCGTCGCCCCGACCTGCATTGT